TCTGTGCTTGCACTGGGACCGGCTGAATCAGGGGAACAAAATTCAGACAAGTTCCTAGCTGGAATCGAACCCGTGACCCTGGGGACAATCAACGGTGCCCTCACCTCTCATTATCTCCACCACCACCCCTCCGGCCTGACATGGTATGCCCAGGGCCTCCTGTACAGCCGCCCCTATCTTGGTGTCGCCGATTCCCAACGTGATCTTCTTTCGCTTCTTGGGAGACTCGGGGAGGTTCGTCTCGAGGAACAGGCGCAGGTCATCGTGCATTATGCCTGAAGAAAAATGACAAAAGAGAGGACCGCAATTTTAGTTTAAAGTCTGGCAGCTCATATAATTATCTGGATCCTAACCCCGCTGAATCCAACAGGATCCAACTATATCATAAGCCTGTTGGATCGAGCAGTAAACCCCTTGTACAAATGTAGTATGTACATATTCAGAGTCGGATTCTGTTGGGTACTGATAAATAACGCCAAGTTGGACTCTGTTGGATCCAGCAGACAACTAAAAATTAGGCACAGTTGGATTGTGTTGGATTGAATAAGAAGTAACCGTTGGACTCTGCTGGATTTAGCAGGCTAGTCCTGGGGAACCCTTAGGGGGTTAAGTTACGGGAGCAACATAACTTTTAAACGTTGTAAGGTGCTTAGGGATTCAAAGGAAAAGAAGTTGCATTTGTTTTTGACATTTGATGTTTGCCTTTGCTGATGGAATTTCGTAGCACTCTGCGAGAGTCTGCTTGAAAACATTCACAACAAGTTTATTCAGGTGGGTTTCAAACCAAAGAGCTTCAGTTTACTAGAGCACAGGTCTGACAACTCGACCACTTCTCTTGCTGGGTTGGCTTGCTGGTGAAAAGCTGATATACCAGTTGGAACTGCAATTAACAACTTGTGATGAAATTGTTAGCGGCAGGGAGATGTCAATTTTAACATATGGTTTTTCCCTTCACACACATACATGTAATCATTATTGCACTAAAGAGGGATATTAAAATCTACAGTTTTTTTTTAAATATACAATCCCTTCTTCAATGTACGTCCGACAACATAACGCCCCTCTACAATTCTTGCACAGAGCCAGTAGACGCTTCAAGCCTGAGCACGGCATAATCTTAGAATGAACACCTAACCTCACACCACAGTTTCTGTAACACTCTCAAAGTTTCGGAAATTCTAATGTTTTACTGTGCACTATGACAACTATACTTTCAGCCAGCCAACCCTGGCAAGCTCCATGGTCGAGTGGTAAGACATCTGCACTAGTATAGCAGGGGGAGGGAGTGTGGCCTAGTGTTTAAGGTCTGTGACTCATGATCAGAGGGTCAGGGTTCGAATCCAGCCGCTGGCCATATGTTGTGTCCCTGGGCAAGCCACTTCACCCCCACTTTGCCTCTCTCCACCCAGGAGTATGAACGGGTACCGGCATTAGCTGGGGAGTAACCTGTGATGGACTAGCATTCATGCTACTAAAACCAGTGACAAATGCCGGCCTGATGGGCCACACTGACACGCGACAGACTTTACTTTATGAATTTTTGTAGGTTAAATATGTGTTTATTACCTTGATGTCTGTTAGAGGTCATAAGGAAAAGGATTCACTGTCCGATATCTGACTCTATAATCGTTTTGGGACATCAAGCCTGTGTTGGACTAACCTTCCGATATGCTGTTGATGTTGTCCAGCGCGTTGGCTCCCGACTTGAACGGGGAGAAGGCGTGCAGCTTGACCAGCGAGGCAAACTTGCCAAACTCCGTCACACTCTTCTCCACCTGACTGTGCAGCATGGAGATCTCCTCAAACTCCGTCACCGCAAACAGCGCATAGCCGGACGCGTGCTCGTACAGGATGTACATTGCCTGTCAAAAGCAATAGCAAGAGAAAGCAAGGGGAGAGGGAAGTGAATGATGAGGCTTGCAACTTTTCTCTAATTGGAGAAACTAGTACTAATTGTAATTAAAAAAAATTTTTTATATCAAACGATAAAATTAAAAAACAAAATGTTACTGCTTGTAGAAATGTTGTAGAACCTGCTTTTTCAAGTTAAAAAGCTGGAACATTGCCAAAGTGTTGGTACTCGAGCAGTGTTTGTGGGAATTTACGTTTTGATACTCCCTTTTACTGTATTTAAGAATATAGAGCAGTTTCATTTTTTAAGCCCTGGCAGGAGCTTGTACATGTACAGTGTATATGTCACTTGGTGGTCAGTCGGTCGTCTGTCCCCAAAAATTGACCAAAAGTATGGTGTTTTTACATGTGCCATCAGCGTCGCATTTGTTGGTGTTGCATTTTTAAGCTCTGGCACGGAATGATTTGAGCAGTTTCATTTTCAGCTCTGGCAGGGATATTTTGATCGATTTCATGTAAGACTGTCATGCAAGACCTCTTGCAACATGGCCAGAGCTTATTGTGCACTCGCAAATTTTTCTATCCTCCTAGGGAGTACCAATTGCCACTACCGATTTTCTACCAGCTTAGGAGTTCCTGATATCTTCCTAAGGGGTTTCATGATGCCTATTTTTTTTATTCTCCTCTGAGGTTCTTGTCAACAGGAAATTTCAGGGGTTTCTCTAACAACTTCCTATTTGTTAAGATCTGGCAGGACCTTCTACATGTCACTTGGTGGTCGGTCGGTCCGTCGGTCGGATGGTGTTCCATATGTGCCATTGGCGTCCCATTTTTAAGCTCTGGCACTAGTGGCGGGGATCATTATGATCAATTTCATGCAAGACTTCTTGCAACACGGCCAGAGCTTATTGTGCACTCGCACTTGTTCTTACATTTTATTGTACATTTCTAAAGCACAGCACGTGGAGTGGGACTGTCCATTGTCCGCCTATTGAATCCGTTTGTGAATTTGAGATGGAACCGTCTGCACTGTTTACCCCAGAACACTACAGTGAGATTTTCCTCAAAAAGTTCTTTTTTTTATTTCCCAGCAAAGTTCATCTTTGTGGCTTGGGAGCCACAGTACTGACTAGCAAGGGTGCTGTTGTAGAATTCTTGTCCCGATAATGTCCCGAGCCAAAGACCCAAAGCTGGTTTTAAACGTACTGTACATGTTTAAAACCGGCTAAGCATATTCCCTTAAAGGGAATATACATGTACATCATTTGCTTTTGCTGTCATTTTCAGAAATGGATGGAATTGGGGGGTTGGAAATATATAGCAAATATAGTTACACCGACTTTTTTGAGGTTTCGGGTTCCAAAATGCTATAAAAACCAAGAAAAACAATCATTTTCCTGTAGTCTGGTTCCCTGACTCCATATAAACAGAAACAGAGCAGTTTACATACATTGGGGAATTGTAAGGTCAGGGAACCAGTCTAGCTGGCTCGTACCCGTTCATAGGTTTGTAATCGATTGCAAACAAGTGCGATGGTCAATTGGGACCAGTATTTGAAGGAAAAAAAGCCAGTTTTTTTAAACGCTGATCGGCCGACCAGCGTTGGAAATTGATACAAAAATACCACTTTTCTTGAAAATGACAATATACCAGGTGCCATGATTTTACAGGATGCTTTACACTGTCATTCACTAACAGTCCAGCAAGGTATTTCAAAATGATTTGGTAGTTTTATTTTTTGATGTTTGCAAATGTTGTATTTTCCCTTTAAAATAATTCAACAGTATTGTTTAAAAGGCCATTTTCTAAAAAATTAGTTTCACAACTTTAATTTAGCTTGTGATCTATATTTCCATTTACTGAACTCGGTACCCCAACATTTTATACCATTGGAAAGCTACTGTTCTGCAGAGTCCAGAAATTTAAATATCTGAATTCTTAAAACCTAAGCACATGTACAGTTGGGCTTCAAATGAAGAAAAATACACAATGCCAGGAACACTGTCCAGGTATTACGTTTTATTCAAAACGGTTATGCAATAAAACACTTCAATGTCACCCTTGCCCCCAAAATACCACCCCAAAAACCTGCAACTGCCTCTTAATACAAAAGAAATGTATCTACAGTGCCATTTTTATTCCATTTCAAATTCATCTACAGGTGTTCCAAAGCATTGTTGTTTAAATTTCCCCCGTCCAGTCCATGACAGGATTTAGTCTAATACAAATTCATGACTGGTAAAAAATAAAATTCACTTAGAATAAGTGAAATGCATGTACGCTTTTAAAGTGATGTCATTGTTTTCTTTTCATAACATGTATATTGTGAAACTTACTAAACTATCTACACACATTTTGACAAATTATATACAAAAACGACCAGCAAAGAGCAACTTTCCTTTTGCATTATTATTTGTATAATGATTGTGGTATTATTCCAATACACAACATGCTTGTACATGTGAACTTCAATTGCAAAACTGTGAGAGTGATACATTAACACAGTATACCATTGATGAAAAAAAGAAGTCTGAAATATTTACAGAAATTTTGTACAATGTTATTAAAAACGGATGAGAAAAATGAAGTCACCGCCGGAAATTTTTTATAACCACAGAATATGCTTTTGGATTTGTAGTTTCTAGGAATCTTTAATTTTTAGCTTGAAATTATTGTTGCAATTATTAATGATTTCCTTCACGTGTTAGTTAATTACATGTACATCATAAATTTATAAATAAAAAGTGTCACGCTAGAGGTAAGCACAAGGTTCACTTCTGAAAAAAAAGTAAAACATCATTGCGAGCTTGTAACACAAAGTGCTACGATGCATTTCATAGGCTACACAACACAGTTTACGACAGAGGGCAAACACTGCAGTTTCTGGAGTCTAGCGCAGTAGAATTGTAGAGTCAATGATTTTTAACCCTCCTGCTATTTAAACAGTTACAGACAGTCAAAATTTACTTCCACTTCCCCTGCTATACTTTTAACAAAGGCTAGTCACCAGCAGTCAGATCAGCTGTCAAGCAAGCACTGTGACTAGTCAAACTGGGTCAACAGACAAAGCAGGCAAGTTGTGGTCACAGCTGTTTTATCACCCCGAGTCAAAGCAAAGCTGAATCAAGTTACTTAAACAGTCCCAGCCAGTCAATCGTGCTTTATGTAGGCTGGGAATTCTTAACCGTTGGAAACAGTCACTTGTTTGATTTTGACTGAAAGGACTTCTGGGCACAGAATGTACGTTTGCATAGGAGGGTTAGTGTTTATCTCTTCAACTTGTTAATCACTGAAGGTTGGCTTTTAGAAAAGGGAGCAATTGAACATCCTTGGCATCTAGGAGAGACCTCTTGGCGGCAATGACGGCCCCCGCTGAACTGAACAGGCGCTCTGAGGGGACGCTGGTGGATGGGATGCAGAGATACTTCATGGCAACAGCCGAGAGCAGTGGGTACCTGGGTCCATTCTGCCTCCACCACTTCAAAGGGTCTGCCTCCAGGCCAAGGCGTGGCTCTGTCAGGTACCTCCGGATTTCATCCTTGGCTCCTCCAGTTGGTTCCGTTTCCTTGACCCCGACGTTTTCATCGTCAAACATGTCTCCCAGTAGAGAGGCCCACACATGCATCGGCTTCTTCTCTGGGGGCTCATCTCGGTCAGTACCCTCGGCGATTTTGTTGTCTGTCAAGAGCATGGCTTCGTTGGCAATCTCATCGTGGAGGTTTATCTTCTGCTCTTCGGTCAGGAAGGGGAGCTTCTTATAGCGAGCATCCAGGAATGTGGCCTTAGGGAGGACAACCAAGAGAATTGGGTCATCATAGACATTGGACAGCTCCTGTGCCATGGCCTGCTTCATCTCCATAATCTCAGGCAGGTCGACATCCTTTTCCTTGAGAACTGACTTCAGGTAGTACACCGATGGTAGAAGGCCGGATGCAGTGGCGTAGCTCTTCCCGAGGATTGTCTCTGCCAGCGTCTGCAGAGGAGCCAGGACCTTTTCAATCTCTTCCACAATCTTCATGTCCTCTTCGGTCAACTCAAGATCCATCCTGTCCGCTGCCACCAAGACTGACTTAAGCAAATCTCTCTTGTCAAGGATGCCACGAAGCATGCTTTGTGTTGTTCCAAGCGGAATGTTCAAGTCCTGCATGGTTATGTTCAGAGTATCGTCTGGCTGGACCTCTGGCTGTGCTTCTACCTGTTGGATGGTAGTCAGAGCTGAAATGTCAGCTTGGTCTTCCACGTTGATCTGGGCGGCCGTTACGAGCCGTTCTAGCACATCCAGCTGTCCCTGGACATCAAGTTGCTGGTGGGTCTCGTACTGCTGTGAGACATCCACGTCTTGAGAGGTCACCTCAGGCTCTCCTGGCTGCTGGGCAATCGTCGTGTGAACAGTAATTGCATATTTCGGAGAGCTGAGGAGAAACTCGACCAGCTTTACACAATGAGCCAATGGCTCTTCGACCCCCGGGCACTGAAGCCCTGCTTTGACAATGGAATTCAGAGAGTGTCCTAAACAGGGCACATGCTTCCCAGTGAAGCTGTTCTTGACAGAATTGTTGGTGACAAGGGCGCTGATTTTTACTGGGTCGTCGCTGATGGTCCAATCTGCAGCAATCTTATTCAGGCAGTCTGCGATATGGGGAGCATCATGGGGCAACGGAAACTCAACGTTCTCCAGCATGAAGCTCTTTAGCTCCCAGTCCGAAGTCAGGAGGTGTGCTGTGACCGCCATGTACTGGTCCGTGGAAGAGCAGCCCCACACATCAATTGACAGCGCCACGTGCTTGGCGTTCTTGACTGCCGGTAGAACTGTCAGGTGTTTGACTTGGTCGTACAAGCGCGGGATGATCCTCAGGGTGAAATCGTCCCTGGATGGGAGGACGTAGCGGGGGTCAAACTCATGAAGCATCGTCTTGAAGCTGGGCTCCTCAAGCGAGGAAAGAGGCTTGAGATCCTTGGCGATGTAGTTGGCAATGCACGTTGAAAGCCGTTTCTTCCGGTTGCTCATCAAGCCCCCACTTCGCCTGGTTGACTGGAAACAAATGAAAAGAATGAAGAAAAAGTTAAGAAATTTTGGTTTCTAAAGGCGCCCTGCTATAATCTAACAGAAACAAATGACAACAAGAGTGTGAAGTTTGCTAGATCAAACAGAATCCAACATTGAGAACTAGACTGTCTCTTGTTCTTGGTTTTATGAACAAAGCACGGCCAGGATCAATGCACAATAAATCTGACTTGAGTACAGGCTGGACTGCTTCTTGAAGACCTCTCACCTCGCCTGACGGTGTGCCGACAGCCCTTGGAATCAAGCTGACGTGCTTGTGCACCTTCGGATGCTTGTGCTCCAGGTGGTTACGCATGATGGTGGTGCTGGAGTTGGTGTAGATTAGCTGCTTGCCGCAGAGAGCGCAGACCACCTTATCTGGGGTCTGGGGCTCTGCCGGGTCGTCCGGGTCCGGGAGGAATCCAAAGAACTGCCAGATGGGGCTGGAGCAGGCCCCCTTTTTGTGCAGCAGACCCTTCTTTTGCAACAGGTCTTCAGCATAAATGTCTTCTTCAGACTACAAAGAAGATCCAGAAACAAACGAAAGTCAGTTATTTATTAAAGAGATGTCACCTTCAGACAATTAACATTTTGCAAAAGTCCTTTCAGAGAACCACATCTGCTCTCTCCTCACACTGTCATGATAGTCCTCGTGTTAGGCTACCCAAATGTTTTTTTATAAAGGTACGTTCAATCCTTCAAATTCCTCAAAAACCTGCTACATTTTGAAGGATTTAGGAGGATTATGAATAATCATCCTCATAAATGGTTGTGACAACTCCATAATTGCATTTACTGTGATGTACAGAAATGAAACCTTTCAACTCCACAACTAACAAGAAGCAACTAGCCCCGGGAAACTGTCGCCTTACTCACCAGTGAGCTCAAGTTCAGCTCCTCAAACTCCGACTGCTGCTCCTCGTGCTTGACCTTCGGGTCGGCCGCGTTGATGCCGAGAATGTCCTGCGACACCTCCACCACCTCCCACTGGTTGTGCTCGGCAAACTCTGCCTTGTGCAGCAAGCGGATGTGGGTGCGCATGGGCGAGGTGCCGCCGTGGTAGCTCATCTTTTTCTCGCACAGGGTGCAGGTGACAAAATCTTTGCTGGGCTGGTTGGTGTCCGGGTCCTCGGGGAAAAAGAAGTAGTTCCAGACCCAACTGGAGCTACGCTTGGGCACTGCATTCTTCCTCTTCAGGCCGACCATCGGCGTTGCCGTATCGCTGTACTGGACTCTGCTAGACTGCAGAACACAAACAAAATGATCGCATTACACTTGTTTAAAACTTTCATTCATGTGAAAAAGGAAATAACTTATACAAGGATTAAAAAATTGAAGAGAATAACCGATGTATTGTTGACTTCAAGCTTGAGCTTTTGTTCCTTAATTAAGGGACACAGCCATCTTCTATAAGTATGATACTTCTTCATGTAAAGTAATGAATGTGGGTTACTCCATGAAGTTCGGGCAAAAAGTGTGACATTGGGTCAAAGTTCCCAAATGTTCATCCGAATATTGTTTTTGATAGCTCAACTACTATATTTTTAGGAAATAGTATGCTTTTTCCCCAAAACATAAAACTGAATTTGTGGTTGATCTTTATATTCATGATAGGAAATTCAAAATACCGATGCTACATGGACACCAAATCTAAACAATTGCTCTGAACATTTTTTAATGGGTTAGGTTATTTGTCAGTTTTCTTGTTGTTTAAGATTAACTTTTAGGGTATAATCAAAGGAAAAAACAAATGGTTCAGCAGATGCTCAAAATAAGTTGATAAAACCCATTGTAAATTGAGGCTTTTTGTGTAATTTTGACAAAATTGTGCTTGTTTGGAAAAAGTAACCAAATCAGCTAGAAGAGATATAAAATAGCATTTAGGAGTAAAAGTTTGACTTAAATGACACAGTCAGTGAACCACCTTTCTAAAATGATGTTCAAAATGTATGCCTTTGCTCGTCGTGCTGAGAAATATGGCCGACAATGTGTCAATTTTAGCTATGCTACATGGACACCGTGTCCTGTAGCATAGGTAGAAAACAGCACAATTTATCCAGTAATTAACTGAAAATTAAGCAAAACATGGCTAAATCATGTTTTATGGCAGTGGACATGCAAACCGAAAACAGAAGCTGAATTTTGGATACATAATTTGGATGTGTGTATGAATTATAGAGTGTGGAACAATACCTATGCTACATGGACACCGTGTCCTATTTATCAATTTTCACTTTAGAGGAGCAAACCCTTATGTAAAATAGAGTTCATCTGTATCTGATTGTTATTAATTTATTGTAATTAACCACTTTCTTGGTTCTAACATTAAAAAAATAATTTGTCTACAATCATAGCTTCACAACTAAGGAATACTCTCTTACCTATGCTACATTTTCTACCGATGCTACATCTGGACACCACGCTATATTTTGGAACATAAATCTTCATTGCTGAAGAACAATTTTGCAAAGCATGTTTTATTTTGAATATCCATCCAATTACTATTTACCAAAGGTTAAGATGTGTCAGTATGTGTGGAGGTATTTCAGCTTGAGGGGTTTCTTTAGTTTGAAAATACCGATGCTACATGGACACCATTTCAAAAAATGATACTTTTTCTTCTTGCATCTTATAAACAGCAGCAAGTTTGGAGAATTCAACTTTTTAAAAACTCAACTTGGAGTGAGTTGAACATATTAAAATCAAAATCTTTCAGATACAGTGTACTGTATGGAGATAGCAAGCCTTAGTACCTATGCTAAAGGACACAAAAAGTGCGGACACCAAATGTAGCATAGGTAACAGAATTTTCACATGCATGTAATATCAACACGAGCAGCTTTTGTACAATTTTATGCATAGATATGGGTGAATATGACTTTAATCTAATAGTAAATTACTTAAAAGGATTGATCAGTTGGCATTTTTGCAACAAAACAACAAAAATAAAAACACATGTTTCTGTTAATTTAAATGTCACACTTTTTACTGACATTCTTAGTGTTTTTTGCACACATTTTTCCCAATAAAAATTATTTGAGGGCAGATACAGTCCTAGTTTGATTTTATTTTTAAAAGTAACATCATATCCTTTGAGGAAAATGTTACTTTGAAGGATTTGAAAGACTAAAATTTTTACAAATTGATAACAAAGAGAGTAATTTCAGCATTATCAGCTATTATTCCAACTTCATGGAGTAACCCATATGGAAACAAATGGTACAACCTTGTTTGACATATTTGGGCCAGGATTTGATTTGTATTATAATTATTTTAGTTTATAGGAAATATTTTCAATTTATTTATGTGACCATTACAATATTTTTTTTAAAATCTTGCCAGGCATGCAACTGGGAATTTAGAAAAAAACGAGGAAACTCCAAACCACACAAGACTTCGTACAGTGTTTTTCAAGTTGTAATGGCATTCATGAGAAGTAAAAATCAAGGAAATCAGCAGATCTGAGGAAAAGTTGCATGCCTGTCTTGTCTTACGAGAACATTGAAACAAAAGAGTGCACACAAAAAGTGTATACAAAGGGAAGTGACGGACAGAAAAGAGTTTAACATAAAGAAAAATAAATTAAAATGAAAATGGGATATTTTACAAGAAATAAGGGACTTACTGAAGTTGATACAGAACGGCGTCCACTTGGCCTGCCCACCTTTCCTTTCGACAATTTCTTTTCCGGGGTGGCATTTGCGAGGGTTTCAAACACACTAGGGTGACGGCCCTTCAGGTGCTTGTGCATAACCGTTGTGCTCTTGTTGTACGACAGGCTTTTGTTGCACAGCGCACAGACAATTTCGTCCTCGTTGGCCGGCTCGCTGGGATCATTGGGATTGGTCGGGAACCCAAAGTATTTCCAAATGGGGCTGGAAAAGCCCTTTCGAACTAGGAGGTTTTTCTGGAGGAAATCTTTCTGGATAATCGTGCCGCGAGGCTGTTGGGGAAAAAAAGAATAAAGACGAGTTCTCAGTCTTCCGCTGGCACAACGCATGTGGCACTTTGGAACTTCTCTCTATTCTGATATTCCCAGCCTTGCAACAGGATTTCACACTCCTTTGGTAACCTCCTCCAATTTCGAAAAACACTTTCCCAGTCCCTTGGATTCTCGTCTAACAGTGCTTGAGGTATATTGAATACAAGCATCTGGGGGTATGGCTCATATGTATTTGTTCAAAAGAGGGACCACCATGGTTTTTTTTTTAAATGTCAATGCAAGGCTAGGCCTATCTTTAAATCTATATTGTTGATAAGTTTGTACAGATTTTAAAGCTTTTCGTAACTGATTCCACAGCTTAACCCCAACTCCCCAGCATCTATTACTGGGAATTGGACGAAGTCCATCAGAATCCATCAATCACCGTGTCTAATACAAAACTGTTTATGGCATAATGGAATCCACCACTGACGCACTGGTTGACATTTATGGACTTACTACACATGGCTTTTATTACAATAGCAGTACAGGAAGCTAGGCCAAATCAATCGGATACCCCTAGCACTGCTTCAGGCCATTAGGCCCAAGTCCATCATACTCCATCAACATTTAGTCACGCCAGGCCTTCTGGACCAAGTCCCCCAAAATCCACCAAAATGGGGGGATGGATTTGGATGGAGTTGGGGTGGTTAGGGTTAAGAACCACTGTTGTCAGCATAATACACTGACGGTTCAGATGTTGTGATAAGTGGCCTAATTATAAAGCAAAAAAAAATTAAAATTATTATTTACAGAAATTTGGTGTATGCCAAAACATTTTAAACAAAACGTTTTGGAGTAGATCTAACACTTATTTACTGTATCTTAGAAAAAGAGGATTTACTTTGGATAATTGTTAAGACAGTTCTTTGTATACTGATAAATTGAACATGTTGAAATAGGGACCGTACACTAACTGGCACACATCAACAGCGCATCAACCATGCAACAGTGAACAACATTTTTTCTAAGTTGCCGCGCAATCGCTCTTCGGGCTTACGTGTATGTTGATCAGAAGGTATTACGGGGTGATTTGCACATGTTATTGATCTTCATCATAATTTTCACACGTCTCTCAATCACCTAAAATAAACACTTGAAAAAATTTGCATATTTCTAAGCCAAAATAGTCCATCTCCAAATGGGACTCAAGTTCAGACTGAATTTTTCGGGGCCATTCTCAAAAATGGACAGAGCAATATTAGTAAATAAAGACACATTTTGATTAAAAGTCGCACCAGATTGGAACTTAAAGCGATGTTTTTGGCACGTCGAGACAGTTGTGACAGAAATGTTATGACAGAAATGAAGTCTATCATTTGTCAAGTTTTGTTCACGTGTCGCACAACGCCACGCCAACAACCACATACCGTGCCGTCTGACAGTACAACTAACGTGCACGCGGTATGAATATTCGGCACAATTGCAGAATACCCCGCCACTCAATCTATCCACCTCATAGCCGGCTACGAGGTCACGGTTGATTGCCCTCAATAAACCTTCTCAGCGCTACTTGTATGTACTCTGCGTCATGCTCCACTGCACTCCCACTCCATATCCGTGTAGCCGCCAACAGGGTAGTTGGTTTGGACTTAGAATTTTTCAGCAACTCCCATTCCTTTGTGTTGCTTCGTTCTCAAGCATATTCAAGGGGACTCCCACTCCGTATCTGCGTAGCCGCCAACAGGGTGGTTGGTTTGGACTTACAATTTTTTCAGCAACTCCCATTCATTTTGTGTTGCTTCGTTCTCAAATAATGGACCCCCACTCAGTATCCGCGTAGCTGGCATGGACTTGAATTGTTTCTTTTTCAGTGATTCCAACCTCGTAGCCAGAGATTTTAGGGGTGTATTTCCGAGTGGCGGGGTATTCTGCAATTACTCCGAATATTCTTGGATACTTTAGTGACTTCAGGGGTATGAGTGACCACTGATAAAAATGGCTGAAAACAGCTGAAAAAGGTGTAAAAAGGCTGAACTTTGGAAATCTCCTATACTTTTGTACACAGCAAGTGAGGGAAAAAAAGCTGAAATCCAAAACCAAAAAAGCTGAAATCAGCTTTAAAGCTGAGATTTCACACCCCTGGACTTGTCTGCAAGTCTATGAGATCAGGGATGATGTCGCATTGGAATGATTACGATATCATTTAAACAAGTCAAGTTATTCCAAATTATGTTTATTTTTCTAAAAACATGTACTGTCCATTGGAATGCAATTGTTGTTGTTGGTTTTTTCTGATAATCAGGCCCCGTTTTGGGTCTATTTGATTTTATAAACATGATAAAGTAGGTCCTAAAACGTAGTTCGAAATTTAAAAATCACACCTGTCACGCCTACCATAAAATTATAAATCCCTTCCAAAGTTTCTAATGAGAAGGGTATTTCCAAAACAATAGCGCCCTCTACCGTTTCTGAATTTGCCCCCCCCCCAAAAAAAATATAAAGTCCCATTTGTATTCTTCACTTCAGCCATGTCAGCTCAAATACTAGGCCTACATGGATATAAAAACCACGATAGCAGGACAATTCTATTGTACAGCAACTGGATTTCTCATGTGACAAAGAGGCTATCAACTATTCTCAATTTCTATTCTCAAAGAGAAAATTGGCCGATGCTCCGTAGTGTCGAAAATAGACGATTATAAACATTAATGCACGTGCTTCAACTACTTGCTGAGCTCTGAGCTGAGACGATCCTGCCCCAAATTTTAACTTAAATTACACAAACCACATAGATCACATGCAACCTTTTGATCATAACCATACTAAGCTCAAACCATTCATTCTTACCATGTTGGTACGTATCACTCAAAAGCCTCACAATATGACTAGATTCGAATGTTTTACATGGCCTTTCGTTTGCCACAACTTCTCTAGTTTGTCGGTCCTGACGCCACGCCGCGTGCAAGTGATTTAGCTGGTTTCCATCTTCTTAAGCAGCACATTTACCTTAATCTGTCGTGTACCAGTTAAACTCATTTGTACAAAAATAAACTTGACACTCCATTGAAAAAAGTGAAACACGAGTGCTTTGCTCATGGGGAAGAGCGCCACCATGTTCCTGGTAGGTAGAAAGCAGAATTTTACTCCAGCCACTCAATTTGATTTAATTTATTAGTTGTGCAAAGCCACGATACATTTTTTTCCTTCTTTTGTAAAATCATTCAGATGTGTAACATTTTCAAGCAGTTTATGCCCTAATTTAATTCCACTCAGGCACTTCAATTAAGATAAAAGCCTAAGTGCCTCATTTGTAATTGACAGTGTATGTATACGGTACATGTATATGCTGTGAGTGAGCTGACTGAGCTTAGGATTCAGAGATGGGGTGGTAATAACCACTATTTTTCATTATCTATATAATGGAATTGTTGCGTCGGGGTGATGTAAATCAGATTAGGTTTTGCCCTTCACCGACGTTTAAACACTGTATACTCGGTGTGTTACCTCCCGAGTGAAAGTTGGAAAAAATCACTCGGGAGGGACTCGAACCCACGACCTCCTGCTTTCTAGTGCAGATGTCTTACCACTCGACCACCGAGCTGACGGGATCGGTTGGCTGGTTCGAATATGATGTACATAGCAGAGGGTACCGCATTAAGTATTCATTGGATAGAAGGGTTTAAGTTTTGCGTCGGGGTGATGTAAATCAAATTAGGTTTTGCCCTTCACCGACGTAAAAACACTGTATACTCAGTGTGTTACCTCCTGAGAGAAAGTTGGAACAAAAATCACTCGGGTGAATATTTCTGGCTTTTAAAACACTATAACTAGTTTCGTTCATTCTATTTGAAAGCTTGTCGGTTTCTCACAAAATTGATTCTCCTAATGTTACACATCAAGACCGATCAATGGACGGTATTTCTCAGGTTATTGCCCAAACAATGAGTGTGGTATTTTTCCGTGAACGTTGACTTTAATCGGATTGTATTTTACGCGTACAAAACACTATTGTTTCGGTTATATTATTTTTTCAATTGTTTGACGGTTTATCATCAAATTTTAATTTCGTAATGTTATACATCATGACAAATCACTGGAAGAAAGTTCAGTTTAATACATTAAGGATTTCTTGAGTTATTGCCAAAACAACGGGTGTGTTCTCTTTGTTGAATAATGAGGCGGTCGTGTTGATGCTTTGTTAGTGGTGATGACCACTATTTATGTGGCGCGCCCTCTATTTGAGGGGAATTAATGTAGACTGTATGGCACGTTTGTCTCCACGGCCACGTGCAAGACCGCTGTTTTGTTTAGCGCGCCCTTTTTTGACCCTCGGTTGTCAAAAGTGTGCGGGTAAACTGCCCTTTGCGAAATAGTGAAACAAACGAACTTCTGGACTCGATAAAACAGGTATTTCTTCCTTTGCAAGAGGAATGTGTTGCTTTTGTTCATTCGTGTTTTTTTTTGCGTTTAAAACACCATATTGTTTCGGTAATTTTATTATTTTATTGGTTGATGGTTTTTCATGAAATAGAATCTCCTGATGTTACATACACTGTAAAAAAGTTGGGCAAAATGGGTTGATAATTCGACCAATTATGGTCGAATTATCAACTGCCTTCCCCTCTTGGGCATATTCGTCCCAATAGTTTGACAGTTTTACCCAATTCAACCCAATATGAGGTAATTTCATACCTGCTGGGTAAATTAAATTGCCCAGCAGTGTTTTATCCAACCTTTTTACAGTGTTTCAAGACAAATCGTTGGGCTAAATTTCAAATTAATACAACTGTTATTTCTCTCGTTATTTGCCCGAAAAACGAGTGAGTTCTTTTTGTTCAATATAGTAGGGCATCCGTGTTGATATGGAAAGAAAATTAAAGTATGTAGACCGATAGGCACGTTTGACTCCGTGCGCCGAGACCATTGTTTTGTTTAGAGAGAGTCCTTTTTTGACAGAAACTAGTAACAAAAGATTAAAAAAAATTTATTGTATTTTTCGCGTATGTTTCGACAGTCGTTTTTATTAACTGTTTGACGGCTTCTCACGAAAAACAATTGACGGGGATTTATAAGGGGCACACGACAACACGTCTTGAATAGAGCAAAGTTTGATTTCTTTTTATTTTTTTTCAGTTCTACTTCAACATGACTGTCACTTTATCATTCTAAAACAAATGGACTACTTTGGAGATAATTCTTGTGGTGAAACAATCATAGGTGTGTTTTCTTTTTGTATGACTTAAAATAAAAAAGTTCAACTGATATTAATGACCGTGCATAAAATTTAAAATCTGCCCACGTGAAACCCATGTCTCATCCTTTAAATCTGGTTTCCACGTTTGAAAAATTTTGGAAAGATGCGGACTTTTGAAGCAATCGCCACTGGAGTCCTAAATGTATTCTGCGATTTGATAAACATTGCTGAATCTCAGCATGTTACTATTTTCATTTTACAGGTCTACTTTTATCCCCCTCTAGTCTTATTCATTTATTCAATCATCGTCTCTTCATTTCGTCACCTTTAAAAATTGTTTTCTTCGTCATTTTACGATGCATTTTACGATGTTGTATATTTCACGTATTGATTCTACTCAGCCTTACACGCGTTTACCTATCCAACGCTTGAGGCGCCTTTTCCAGTGGCCCAATTTTATGACGTCATAGTGTTTCATTGGGCGCTGTACCTTAAGATACCAGTGTCCGATCTTTCTTTGGTACTACATGTACTATACGCAGAGTTATCATGTGCATGCTCCCCAGTTTTCACTTTGTGGCATTAGGAAAAAAAATCTAATTTTTTTTTACGGCACCTTTGCGAGTATTCCAAGGACAACAAATTAAGAGATCGATTTAAATTTCAATTCTGCCCAGCCCATTTTATTTATCGATACATTATTTGTTGATTACAAAAATAGTCTGGTGCTCGAGGTTGGCCCGGTGGCCGTTCGGAAACCACCTATGAAACAGGGTATAAGCCACTGCTGTTGCTGAGGTGAGGGACGCACACCTGAGTGAACCTGGCCGCGTATTCGGCCAGATACCACAGCCGCGTATTCAGCCGTGTATTCAGCCGCGTATTCATAAAGTACGGAGGCCAGTAAACAACATTATTGATGTGATAAATTTTTATATATTTAATGCGGATTTCATCGAGGAGTGTACCGAAAATGAAGGACGTCAGTTTTATGTTTGATGGTCAGTTATTGAGGACTAGAGGCTTCCTATAAATTATTTTGGTTTCAGATCTAGGGCAGCTATGAATCACGTGATACTCGTCTTGAGGAAAATCGTACTTTAATAGCATTTTGCGGTTGTACAACATTAATTTAAACTTAAGTTAAACTTCGAGACAAAGTGTACCAAACAGTGAAGAAGAAAAAGTCAAATCGCCGATGTCATTTTAAAGAGTGGTGTCCCGCCTACACTTTATTTTGGTTTCAGGTGTTTGGGATGTGTCTGTCACGTGACAGTGGCATAACATAATGGGCTTTCACCGCCAAATTTACTCCTTTTTTTATATATATTTAATGCGGATTTCAGGAAAAAGTGTACTGAAAATGCAACATGTCCGAATTATGTTTGATGGTCAGTTATTGAGGACTAGAGGCTTCCTATAAATTATTTTGGTTTCAGATCTAGGGCAGCTATGAATCACGTGATACTCGTCCTGAGAAAAATCGTACAAATAGCATTTTGCGGTTGTACAACAACATTAAACTTTAATTTAAAGTTCGAGACAAAGTGTACCAAACAGTGAAGAAGTAAAAGTCAAATCGCCGGTGTCATCTTAAAGGGTGGTCTCCCGCCTACACTTTATTTTGGTTTCAGGTGTATGGGATGTGTCTGTCACGTGACAGTGGCATAACATAATGGGCTTTCACCGCCAAATTTACTTTTTTTATAATATTTAATGCGGATTTCAGGAAAAAGTGTACCGAAAATGCAACATGTCCGAATTATGCTTGATGGTCAGTTATTGAGGACTAGAGGCTTCCTATAAATTATTTTGGTTTCAGATCTAGGGCGGCTATGAATCACGTGATACTCGTCCTGAGGAAAATCGTACTTTAATAGCATGTTGCGGTTGTACAACATTAAACTTAAGTTAAACTTCGAGACAAAGTGTACCAAACAGTGAAGAAGAAAAAGTCAAATCGCCGATGTCATCTTAAAGAGTGGTGTCCCGCCTACACTTTATTTTGGTTTCAGGTGTATGGGATGTGTCTGTCACGTGACAGTGGCATAACATAATGGGCTTTCACCGCCAAATTTACTTTTTTATATATTTAATGCGGATTTCAGGAAAAAGTGTACCGAAAATGCAACATGTCCGAATTATGTTTGATGGTCAGTTATTGAGGACTAGAGGCTTCCTATAACTTATTTTGGTTTCAGATCTAGGGCAGCTATGAATCACGTGATACTCGTCTTGAGGAAAATCGTACTTTAATAGCATTTTGCGGTAACGTTGTACAACATTAATTTAAACTTAAGTTAAACTTCGAGACAAAGTGTACCAAACAGTGAAGAAGAAAAAGTCAAATCGCCGATGTCATCTTAAAGAGTGGTATCCCGCCTACACTTTATTTTGGTTTCAGGTGTTTGGGATGTGTCTGTCACGTGACAGTGGCATAACATAATGGGCTTTCACCGCCAAATTTACTTTTTTTTTATATATTTAATGCGGATTTCAGGAAAAAGTGTACTGAAAATGAAACATGTCCGAATTATGTTTGATGGTCAGTTATTGAGGACTAGAGGCTTCCTATAAATTATTTTGGTTTCAGATCTAGGGCAGTTATGAATCACGTGATACCCGTCCTGAAAAAATCGTACAAATAGCATTTTGCGGTTGTACAACATTAAACTTAAGTTAAACTTTGAGACAAAGTGTACCAAACAGTGTAGGAGAAAAAGTCAAATCGCCGATGACATCTTAAAGAGTGGTGTCCCGCCTACACTATTTTGGTTTCAGGTGTGTGGGGTGTATCTGTCACGTGACAATGGCAATACAAAATGGGCTTTCACCGCCAAATTTACTATATTTTATATATTTAATGCATATTTCAGGAAAAAGTGTACCGAAAATGCAGCATGTCCGAATTATGTTTGATGGTCAGTTATTGAGGACTAGAGGCTTCCTATAATTTATTTTGGTTTCAGATCTAGGGCAGCTATGAGTCACGTGATACTCGGCCTGAGAAAAATCGTACTAAAATAGCATTTTGCGGTAATTGTACATTATTAAAACTTAAGTTAAACTTCGAGACAAAGTGTACTAAACAGTGTAGGAGAAAAAGTCAAATCGCCGATGACATCTTAAAGAGTGGTGTCCCGCCTACACTCTATTTTGGTTTCAGGTGTATGGGGTGTCTATCTGTCACGTGACAATGGCAATACAAAATGGGCTTTCACCGCCAAATTTACTAATTTATTATTTTATATATTTAATGCATATTTCAGGAAAAAGTGTACCGAAAATGCAACATGTCCGAATTATGTTTGATGGTCAGTTATTGAGGACTAGAGGCTTCCTATAAATTATTTTGGTTTTAGATCTAGGGCAGCTATGAATCACGTGATACTCGTCCTGAGGAAAATCGTACCAAAATAGCATTTTGCGGTTGTACAACAACATTATTAAAACTTTTTAAAGTTAAAGTTCGAGACAAAGTGTACCAAACAGTGAAGAAGAAAAAGTCAAATCGCCGATGTCATCTTAAAGGGTGGTCTCCCGCCTACACTCTATTTTGGTTTCAGGTGTATGGGATGTGTCTGTCACGTGACAGTGGCATAACATAATGGGCTTTCACCGCCAAATTTACTTTTTTTTATTATTTAATGCGGATTTCAGGAAAAAGTGTACCGAAAATGCAACATGTCCGAATTATGTTTGATGTTTAGTTATTGAGGACTAGAGGCGTCCTATAAAATGTTATACATGCTGCAAAAGGTGATCTGTTTTCCAGATAGATAATTTATTTTATTCAACGAATTTTTCAAAATAAACGACAAATATCAATATTTTTCTATGCTGTATCAGAGTTCACATTAAAGCAACCATGTCGTCAACGCGTTTTGAAAATTTGATGCAATAATTACTTATAAATTAACTGCTTATAATGCGAATCATCACATTTAACGTAATTTTCGAACGCTTTTAGAGATGTTGAAAAATAAATGCATCATTTAAAACAGAGTGTACCTCACATGTTGTCAAAAACTCATAATTTTATTGCATAATCTACGAGATCATGTGACTGGGCACGCTTCATTTTAGTATTGGCTTCAGCCGAGCACTAATTAGTGCCTAGTTAGCCTCTTAAAGTGACCCCATTTTCCAGGCACTATGAGAATGCATTCTTTTCAACTGCGTATATCACTGCTCCTTTAAAACAAAGTGTACCTCACATGTTGTCAATAACTCATAATTTTATTGCTTAATCTACGAGATCATGTGACCGGGCACACTTGATTTTGGTATTGGCTTCAAATTAGTACTAATTAGTGACTAATCGGCCCCTTACAGTGGCCCCATTTTCCCGGCACTATCAGAATGCATTCTTCTCAACTGCGTATATCACTGCTCCTTTAAAACAAAGTGTACCTCACATGTTGTCAAAAACTCATAATTTTATTGCTTAATCTACGAGATCATGTGACCGGGCACACTTGATTTTGGTATTGGCTTCAAATTAGTACTAATTAGTGACTAATCGGCCCCTTAAAGTGACCACATTTTCCCGGCACTATCAGAATGCATTCTTCTCAACTGCGTATATCACTGCTTCTTTAAAACAAAGTGTACCTCATATGTTGCCAAAAACTTGCAGTTTTATTTCATAATCTACGAGATCATATCACTGGACACACTTAATATTTTGGTATTGGCTTCATCCAAGGACTAATTAGTGACTAATTAGCCCCTTAAATTGACCCAATTTTCAAGGCACTATCAGCATGCATTCTTTTTCCAACTGCATACATCACTGGTCCTTTAAAACAAAGTGTACCTCACATGTTTTCAAAACTCATAATTTTATTGCATAATCTACGCGATCATGTGACTGGGCACACTTACTTTTGGTATTGGCTTCATCCAAGGACTAATTAGTGCCTAATTAGCCCCTTAAAGTGACCCAATTTTCCCAGCACTATCAGCATGCATTCTTTTCAACTGCGTACATCACTGCTCCTTTAAAACAAAGTGTACCTCCCAAGTTGCGAGATCATATCACTGGGCACACTTAGTTTAAAAGGAGCAGTGATGTATGCAGTTGAAAAGAATGCATGCTGATAGTGCTGGGAAAATAGGGTCACTTTTAGGGGCCGATTAGTCACTAATTAGTCATTGGATGAAGCCAATACCAAAATTGAGTGTGCCCGGTCACATGATCTCGTAGATTATGCAATAAAATGATGAGTTTTTGGCAACATGTGAGGTACACTTTGTTTTAAAGGAGCAGTGATATACGTAGTTAAAAAGAATGCATGCTGATAGTGCCGGGAAAATTGGGTCACTTTAAGGGGTCAATTAGGCACTAATTAGTGTTCGGCTGAAGTCAATACCAAAATTGAGTGTGCCCAGTGATATGATCTCGTAGATTATGCAATAAAATTATGAGTTTTTGACAACATGTGAGGTACACTTTGTTTTAAAGGAGCAGTGATATACGCAGTTGAGAAGAATGCATTCTGATAGTGCCGGGAAAATGGGGTCACTTTAAGGGGCCGATTAGGCACTAATTAGTACTTGGATGAAGCCAATACCAAAATTAAGTGTGCCCGGTCACATGAACTCGTAGATTATGCAATAAAATGATGAGTTTTTGACAACATGTGAGGTACACTTTGTTTTAAAGGAGCAGTGATATACGCAGTTGAAAAGAATGCATTCTGATAGTGCCGGGAAAATTGGGTCACTTTAAGGGGCCAATTAGGCACTAATTAGTGTTCGGCTGAAGCCAATACCAAAATAGAGTGTGCCCAGTGATATGATCTCGTAGATTATGCAATAAAATTATGAGTTTTTGACAACATGTGAGGTACACTTTGTTTTAAAGGACCAGTGATGTATGCAGTTGAAAAGAATGCATGCTGATAGTGCTTTGAAACTTGGGTCAATTTAAGGGGCTAATTAGGCACTAATTAGTCCTTGGATGAAGCCAATACCAAAATATTAAGTGTGTCCAGTGATATGATCTCGTAGATTATGAAATAAAACTGCAAGTTTTTGGCAACATATGAGGTACACTTTGTTTTAAAGAAGCAGTGATATACGCAGTTGAAAAGAATGTATGCTGATAGTGCCGGAAAATTGGGTCACTGGCCGATTAGTCACTAATTAGTACTACTTTGAAGCCAATACCAAAATTAAGTGTGCCCGGTCACATGATCTCGTAGATTATTAAAAGCAATAAAATTATGAGTTTTTGACAACATGTGAGGTACACTTTGTTTTAAAGGAGCAGTGATATACGCAGTTGAAAAGAATGCATTCTTATAGTGCTTGGAAAATGGGGTCGCTTTAAGAGGCTAATTAGGCACTAATTAGTGCTCGGCTGAAACCAATACCAAAATAAAACATGCCCAGTCACATGATCTCGTAGATTATGCAATAAAATTATGAGTTTTTGACAACATTGTGAGGTACACTCTGTTTTAAATGATGCATTTATTTTTCAACATCTCTAAAAGCGTTCGAAAATTACGTTAAATGTGATGATTCGCATTAAGCAGTTAATTTCTAAGTAATTATTGCATCAAATTTTCAAAACTCGTTGACGACATGGTTGCTTATATTGTGAACTCTGATACAGTATAGAAAAATATTGATATTTGTCGTTTATTTTGAAAAATTCGTTGAATAACATAAATTATCTATCTGGAAAACAGATCACATTTTGCAGCATGTATAACATTACGACGCCTCTAGTCCTCAATAATTGAACAGACGGGCAACCACTCTAACTTTAAGATGTCATCGGCGATTTCACTTTTTCTCCTTCACTGTTTGGTGCACTTTCTCTCGAATTTTAACTTAAGTTTAATGTTGTACAACCGCAAAATGCTATTTTAGTACGATTTTTCTCAGGACGAGTATCACGTGATTCATAGCTGCTCTAGATCTGAAACTAAAATAATTTATAGGAAGCCTCTAGTCCTCAATAAATGAACATCAAACATAATTCGGACATGTTGCATTTTCGGTACAGTTTTTTCCTGAAATCCGCATACGCGCATTAAATATAATAAAATAAAGTTAATTTGGCGATGAAAGCCCATTTTGTATTGCCATTGTCACGTGACAGATACACCCCACACACCTGAAACCAAAATAAAGAGTAGGCGGGCCACGACTCTTTAAGATGTCATCGGCGATTTGACTTTTTCTCCTACACTGTTTGGTACACTTTGTCTCGAAGTTTAACTTAAGTTTAATGTTGTACAACCGCAAAATGCTATTTGTACGATTTTTCTCAGGACGAGTATCACGTGATTCATAGCTGCCCTAGATCTGAAACCAAAATAATTTATAGGAAGCCTCTAGTCCTCAATAACTGACCATCAAACATAATTCGGATATGTTGCATTTTCGGTACACTTTTTCCTGAAATATGCATTAAATATATAAAATAATAAAAGTAAATTTGGCGGTGAAAGCCCATTTTGTATTGCCATTGTCACGTGACAGATACACCCCATACACCTGAAACCAAAATAGAGTGTAGGCGGGACACCACTCTTTAAGATGACACCGGCGATTTGACTTTTTCTCCTACACTGTTTGGTACACTTTGTCTCGAAGTTTAACTTAAGTTTTAATAATGTACAATTACCGCAAAATGCTATTTTAGTACGATTTTTCTCAGGACGAGTATCACGTGATTCATAGCTGCCCTAGATCTGAAACCAAAATAATTTATAGGAAGCCTCTAGTCCTCAATAACTGACCATCAAACATAATTCGAACATGTTGCATTTTCGGTACACTTTTTCCTGAAATCCGCAATAAATATAATAAAATAAAAGTAAATTTGGCGGTGAAAGCCCATTATGTTATGCCATTGTCACGTGACAGATACCACCCACACACCTGAAACCAAAATAGAGTGTAGGCGGGACACCACTCTTTAAGAGGTCATCGGCGATTTGACTTTTTCTCCTACACTGTTTGGTACACTTTGTCTCGAAGTTTAACTTAATTTAAATGCACAACGTTACTGCAAAATGCTATTTTAGTACGTTTTTTATTAGGACGAGTATCACGTGATTCATATCTGCCCTAGATCTGAAACCAAAATAATTTACAGGAAGCCTCTAGTCCTCAATAACTGACCATCAAACATAATTCGGACATGTTGCATTTTCGGTACACTTTTTCCTGAAATCCCCATTAAATATATAAAATAAAGTAAATTTGGCGGTTAAAGCCCATTTTGTTATGCCATTGTCACGTGACAAATACACCCCACACACCTGAAACCAAAATAGAGTGTAGGCTAGACACCACTCTTTAAGATGACATCGGCGATTTGACTTTTTCTCCTACACTGTTTGGTACACTTTGTCTCGAAGTTTAACTTATAAAGTTTAATGTTGTACAACCGCAAAATGCTATTTGTACGATTTTTCTCAGGACGAGTATCACGTGATTCATATCTGCCCTAGATCTGAAACCAAAATAATTTACAGGAAGCCTTTAGTCCTCAATAACTGACCATCAAACATAATTCGGACATGTTGCATTTTCGGTACACTTTTTCCTGAAATCCCCATTAAATATATAAAATAAAGTAAATTTGGCGGTTAAAGCCCATTTTGTTATGCCACTGTCACGTGACAGACACATCCCAAACACCTGAAACCAAAATAAAGTGTAGGCGAGACACCACTCTTTAAGATGACATCGGCGATTTGACTTTTTCTTCTTCACTGTTTGGTACACTTTGTCTCGAAGTTTAACTTATTAAGTTTAATGTTGTACAACGTTACCGCAAAATGCTATTAAAGTACGATTTTCCTCAGGACGAGTATCACGTGATTCATAGCTACCCTAGATCTGAAACCAAAATAATTGATAGGAAACCTCTAGTCCTCAATAACTGACCATCAAACATAATTCGAACATGTTGCATTTTCGGTACACTTTTTCCTGAAATCCGCATTAAATATTATAAAAAAAAGTAAATTTGGCGGTGAAAGCCCATTATATTATGCCACTGTCACGTGACAGACACATCCCATACACCTGAAACCAAAATAAAGTGTAGGCGGGACACCACTCTTTAAGATGACATCGGCGATTTGACTTTTTCTTCTTCACTGTTTGGTACAATTTGTCTCGAAGTTTAACTTAAAGTTTAATGTTGTTGTACAACCGCAAAATGCTATTAAAGTACGATTTTTATCAGGACGAGTATCACGTGATTCATAGCTGCCCTAGATCTGACACCAAAATAATTGATAGGAAGCCTCTAGTCCTCAATAACTGACCATCAAGCATAATACTGACGTCCTTCATTTTCGGTACACTCCTCGATGAAATCCGCATAAAATATATAAAAATTTATCATATCAATAAAGTTGTTTATTGGCCTCCGTACTTTTTGAATACGCGGCTGAATACACGGCTGAATACGCGGCTGTGGTATCTGGCCGAATACGCGGCCAGGTTCACTCTGGTGGACGCACGAGTTTTGATGTCGGTGCTTTGAATTAGTTTGAAACAGTTGAAATTACTTTTATTTGGATTTTTATTCACTGAATTTAACTGGTACGGTATAATTGTAGCACCAACCATTTTTACGTGTTTGGCATGTCTAATATCTACGAAAAGCTTAGAGAAACCTGACACAACACTGACTATGCTGCGCTGACAGTGACACTGAGTGACAGTGAATGCCCACAAATTAAATGTAGTTTTGCCGAATTTGCCTGGCACTGGCAGCCTGGGGATGGTGAGGGCGCTGTGATATAAGCAGCTACTTCACAATTTGTTCTAAAAACCATTGTTTTTTGGGAAAGAATGCAGACACCACTTCTTTGGTCGTGTACAAAGTATATGGAGAGTCGAGTGAATTTTCAAAGTATTTGCTAACAAAATTGGAAATGTTTCTCAGTCCCAGATTTATGTCTTAATCTTATTCTTAATCTTATTCTTATGATGAAAAAAAGTGGTGTTAGGATGCAATGTTCTTTCCGTTATATAGTTCTAGCGGTCAGTGGCTAGCTACATGAAGTACGACTGACCGCTGACCAAAGTCCAAATTCGAAAAAAGGAGTTCTAGTGCCCCAGTTACTGGGTCTAGCTAAGTAACTAGCTTGGAAAACCCCAGCTGCAAATGCTAATTGGAAATTCTGCAACTAATTGTCCAATTTCAGTTGAGTCTTAGAGCAGTGATTTCTTGAGCTATTTTGGGAGGAGGGCGTTCGATTAATGACTGATGACATAGTTACTAAATTAGTCAATTTCTTTGCAGTTTGACCAAATGGAGCTGAATCCCATCCTAGGCCCAGGGGACTGCCCCCAGCCAGGCATGTGGTATGTCATCTCATCCATGGGGCAGCACCCCTCAGTCAGGGTGGGTCACACATGCAGCTACGTGCCTGGCAAGACGCCAGACGACAAAGGCAGACTGGTGGTGATCGGGGGCGCAGACCCAAGTGGGGCATATGCAGAGACGTATCAGCTGGATCTGGGTGAGCACAAACTGGGAACCCTCCCATTTCCTTCAAAATCCATCAGGTGTTTTGAAGGGTTGATGGTGGTAGTCTAGCCTGGCCGCGATTTTTTTTCTCCCAAAAGACATCCACTTATGGGTGTATGCTATGGCGTTTTGGACTTAACTTTTATAAAAACATGAGAAGAAAATAAAAAATTAGAAAAAAAAGTGAATTTGAACGTTATGAATTTGCGTGCTTTATTTCCCTTAAAAAAAAAAAATCCTCCGAAGCCTCAGGTTAGAAAAGGAAAAGAATTCGGGTGCAAAACTGAGATTCTAACCCGCAACCTCGCGGTGCAAAACCTACCTTCTATCGACTGAGCTGTAGCACTACTCGCCAAAACGTGGGGAAACAATAATTATATACCTGCGCGCGTATCATAAAAGTATCTTAGAGGGCGCTAAACAACCATGTATACGGATGTCGTTTGGGAGAAAAAAGTTCGCAGCCCGGCCACCATTACAGTAACATTTAGCTTGATACCCTGTGAAAAAGTCAAATACAAAGAATGTGCCAATTTTGAGATTTGTGCAGTGGTGGATTTTAAGAGTTTCTGGAAGGCTCCTGGTGAAATATACTTCGGGAGTTGGGGCTGTTATACCCAGCGGCGTAGCCAGGTTTCTCGTCATAGGGGGGCGGGGGAGGGGGGGGGACTGGATGTTACAGTGGGTGTGCCCAATTTCTGTTAAACCCATTAACCATGGTGGCATATAGGACTAACACATTTCTGGGGGGGGGGGGTTGCACACCCCCATTGGCAACATCGCTGGTTACGCTCTAACTATAGCTTTGTCCCATGTGACTGTGCACCATTGTGATGCTTTATGGTGTTCAATGATCTTGGGTCAAACTCTAAGGTTGCAAGGTAGTGGCATCCCATGACAAGATTTTTCGTTTTTGCACACTTTCTTTTTGCGCAGACACCTACCAGTGGACAACACCAGACTACAGTGGCCTGAGACCTCGTTACGAACACGCCATGTTTCAGCCAGTGAGTCAACCCAACAAGATATTCGTATTCGGTGGTGCCGACCAAGGAAGAAATATGAATGACCTTCAGGTACTAGACCTGGGTAAGTTTGGCATGACTACCTAGGTTTAAAAAAAATGGTGATTTCGGATTCGTTATGATTAGCTTTTGCTGTGTCCAAAAGTGTAGTAGATCCGGCAGGATCTCGCACAAAAAACACGCATGATGGCGGCCATGTTTAACGCCAGATACGTGTCAGCGCTGCACTTAAGTCTTCAATTCAAGCCTGGTTTCACCATTGAGTGAGGGCCACTGATGACTTGATGTACCAAACTGTGGTACTGCCGTATTGGCATGAGCTCGTTGTGCCGAAAAAAAAACCCTGACCATTTCCCTGACTTCCAATTAAGTCTACTTCAATGTTTATGCAAACCCAACCTCATCCCCATATGCTCAAAGGATCACTCACGTGATCACCCCATTTATCCCCTGTTGGAATGAGCAAGGGTGGATCCAGAACACAATGTGGGGGGGGGGGGGCCCAAACAAAATTGGTCCCCCAAAAAGTGGGTCCCAAAAATTACGGTGTGGGGTTCGGGGCCCGCTTTATAAGGTCCCCGAAAAGTGTTTGGATTCTAGATGCTCTGTGGTTTGATCTGAGGCAGTTTCTGATCACTTTAACCGAATCTTTTTGGGGAAAAGATGGTGGTGTACGCAGTGCCTGCCTTTACTGCGACGTAGCCCCCCTTGGCCCCTCCCTGGATCCGCCCTTGCTATTGAGACGCAGAGGTCGATTATCGAAACAAGGTTAACTGATAACAACGGAACAGCACAGACATGACGGACCTGACAGACGATTTTGAAGAGGCTGCTTGATATTTTTGTTCTCTTTCTTTTTTGTTTCTATTACTTTGATTGAAAACTTAATTTCGATTTTCAGTTATTTTCTTTGACCAACCCATACACAATTTCGAAAAAAGATCGGAATTTCTAAACATTGACTATTCTGAATGGCCCCTTAGTAATGTATTGTTTTTTCCTCATCTGTGGTCAGATTCTGGAAAGTGGAGCACTGTGTCTGTCACCGGTACCCCGCCTTCGCCTCGGACATGTCGAAACTGTGCTTCCCTGGGTGACAAACTGTACGTTTTTGGTGGTGGGCACCAGGGGGCGGAGCCTGTGAGCGACAGGCAGCTGTATGCATTTGATGCAGGTGAGAGCACTCTTCTTATCTTCCAGAAAATGTTATAAACCTTTTTAAGTGACCAAAGCTAAAAAGGGAATGAAATGGAATGGAATTTGGCACACATGTAGAGCAGTTAAATCTGAACATATTCACAGAGCGTGGTTTTAAACAAACTGTTTTTTAACTGAATTTGCAATTTAGCACACTTACCACAGCAAGCTTTACTGTAGTATGAGAAAATGCAATTTCCATGGTGTGAGCCTCAAATAATGCTGTGCAGGCAGCGCGTTGACCCTAAGGTCAATTTTCATAAATTTGGTATCAGAGCATGCGCAAGACTTGAAACTAAAAAGTCATCACGGCGAGAAATGCGCATTTGGTGAAATATTGCTATAAAAGTGCGGGTTGACTTCGGACAAGTCTAGATGACTTATGATGGACTTGTTAGGACATGGACTCGACTATAACACTGTTGTTGGTAGGGCTTAACCCTAACTCCCCGGCATAATTTACTAATTTACTTTCCAACACCCACATGGGAAATTGTACACACACACTGTTGGACTTAGTTTCTGGAGGTATGCCAACCCAGTGTAAAAGACCATCTGTTTAGGGGAACTGTACCTATCCCAACAGATTTAAACAAAACCTGCTGTTGGGCTTGGATGGGTTGAGTTCGGTTAAGGTTAATGTACAAAGAAAAAACAGCTACACGTACATTAGGCCCAAAAAAAAAAATATTTGGTCTCTGGTCAGACCAAAGTTCTGGAATTGACGCGGCGACGCGGCTTTTTTTTTTTATTTTTCTTTTTTTAAATTTTTCTTCAAGCTTGGATTGTACAGACAAGGTGGGGTACTATTTTGCTTGTTTGGTGTCCTCATGTACATTGGTGTCCTCCATAATTTGCCTTGGTGCTCTCGATCATTTGCCTTGGTGCAATTTCCCATTCCTTGGTGCTCTTTGGTAAAAAAATTGAGGAGGTGCGGCAATAGAGGGCGCTGTTGGAGCTACCGCAGAACATTTTTGGAAAAAAACAGATTGACGCGCATGATTAAAATCGACGCGCACGCTGACCAGAGACCGACCTATTTTTTTTGGCCTTATTGTGAGAAAGAAATTTATTCAAGTGAAATTCAGTTTTATGACTAGAAAACACATTCTTTCCATTTCCAGCAAGTCTTGCTTGGACGTGTCTAGAGGTCAAAGGTAAAAAACCATCAAGTCGGCATGGTCATGTGATGGTTGCCGTGGGAACCAAGATATACTTGCATGGTGGAATGTCTCGAGAGATCTTCTTCAACGACATGCATGAGTTTGACACCAGTGAGTATGTGGAAAAAAATTATGCTTACATGCCATCCCCCCCCCCATTTTTCAGTCGTAGAAATCATCTTATCATTTTTTTGTCTGAGTGACCTGCTATTGATTCAATGCAAGAAGAACAGTAGCTGTACTGTTTGAATGTACGCACATACCCGCATCCCTATGGATGGGGTACATTTAAGACTATGTTTAAGACAAGTGGCCATTCTTTACATTTGTTTGTCAATTAGAAGAAAGAGTAGGCTTATATGTGTACTATGTATAACCCCCCCCCCCAAAAAAATTCTCCGACCGACTGACCCTCCTGATATGTTTCATGTGAGGACAACACAATTTTTTGGGGGGCCTCATGCAGTGTGGCATTGGAAAGGCCCATGTGTTGTTTTTGCCCATGTGCACAGTGGACGATGCCTAATGAATCAGTTTTTTCCCCTCACTTGCAGGGTATGTTTGGACCAAAAACCCACCCAATTTTTGGGGTACCATTATTCCCTCTGTGCACAGGTTTGTGCTAGTAAAAACTGCTTTGCATACATATGACGCGAAATACCCAGAAAATCATCTGAGTAATGGAAGCGCTTGTGCATTTGGTTAATTAAAGAATCTTGGAGAAATCATCTGGTGCCCAGCAGAAGGACATATGAGCATTCTGACGCGAAGATCACTTTTGAACAAAATTGCATTGAAAGGCTTTATTGTTCCCCATGTGTTTTATGGATCCAATGTTCTCCCATGCGTATTATAAATCGTACAAATTCTAAATTGGTCACAGGTATGAATCATAATTTTTGGAACAACTTGGTTTAATTTTCGATGGGAATGCTTAAGTTTCATTAAAATAGATGCAGTTTTCTGCGCATGTCCTTTTGCTGGGAACATTTTGATGATTACGCGTTCGCACCTAAGGGCCAACGCGCATTCGCCCTTCTGCCAGGCACACGACGAAATTAGTTCCCACCTACCCAGATCTCTGATCCGTTATTAGCTTATAACTTCTTTTTTTTTTTGTTTAGGCACCTTGACCTGGAAACAAGTCCGCTGCAAAGGGGATATACCGCTGGGCTGCACCGCCCATGGAGCTGTTGCAGTTGGCGACAAGATTGTCATTTTTGGCGGTATGACACCGAACGGAGCATTGGATGCTACCTACGTCTTCAATACATGTAAGTACTTTCATGTAAATGCATTGGGGCGTCAAGTTTAGAATGCATGAAACCTTTTACCAAAACTATCCCATATCCTTCAAAATCCATGAAGAGTTGTGTAGGATTTTGCAGGATTGAGGAAAATAGAACCCAGCCTCGTTTAATTTACATGGAACTTGATTCCCCTTGACTGACCTTCCCAAATCCTCTTTGCGAAATGGAGGATTTTGCAGGATTGAGGCCATATGGTAAAAAGACGTGGCTGATTTTGGAGGATGCACTGTGTCAAGGTCATAGGCCAGATTTTGTGTTATTTACGTCAGCCGTGCATCAGTTTAGGCCTAGATTATATAGGGCCAATGATTTTCCGCGATCGCGGAAAACAGACGGAATTCGCGGAATCTGCTCCTCGAAACGGAAAACGGAATTTGAATCTGAAGAAAATAATTTCTGCAATTTTATTGATAAAAAAACATAATTTCGTTAAATTTATTGAGTACAAAACGAATTATTGATGATTGATTGAACAAACGAGCCACACAACAAATGAGCGGTGTTTATATCACGATTTTGGGGGGACAAAAACGTTCAAGATCAGAGCAATAAATGTTACGAGATCATTACCGTAGTACGCGTAGTCATGGGAGTGACAGTCCCGATGCATGCCGTAGCTGTCGGTCAGCGCAACGGTGAAAATCATCACACTCACAGCATGCTCTCGCGGGTCTCTTTTGCTCCATCGGCAGGTTTATTTTTCTCTGTTCAATCAATCAACCATTCGTATAACATCTAACATTGGCTCTATTGAAATGCATGTTGTGCTTAGGTCCAAAATCTACCGTGTGTTCTTATTCCTCCATGCGTAAACTATCCTATTTTGTCGCTAACGTTAGCCCGAAAACAAAATGGCAGACATGAATTTCGCTTCGGCCAGCTGATGTGCGTGACGTCATGGGATGGGCCTGTATGGCTATTGCATGTTTCTTGCGTGTGTGGCAGTGGCAGTGCAGTATACGACTTGACTGTGGTGAAGTTAAATACTATGTCTGTACATTGATCGGCCGTTGATAAAAATAGAAATCTTTTTGGGGCAGTTTTCCCGCGCCCCAACCAAACGACTATTTCATTATCGTCTTGGAATTATTTACTGTGTACATGGTATATGTTTAAATGCCTTTTTTTATGTATTGAATAAATGTGAAACAGAATTTTTCAGCCTGAAACGGAATTCAGGATTTTTGAAAACGGAATTTGCAGTTTTCTGAAACGGAAAATCATTGGCCCTAATTATACTTGAAATCCTCCGCACTGCTCCAGGATGTCGCTGGCTCTGCAAAATATTGACAGTGATTGCTGGAGGATTTTGCAGGATTGAGGCAATGGTCGCATTTCCGAGGAACACATTCAAGAAATAACAGATGATTTTGGAGGATTGAGGCTGTTTGCTATTTTAACATGGAGGCAGTTGGAGGATTTTGCAGGATTGAGGTTACATCCTACCAAAAATGCCTAGGGCATTAGGGTTAAGTAGTGCAAAGCATGTACCATAGACCTTGTGTGTTAAGGCGGAGTCAGAGGGCAGTGGGTTTGTATTGCTGGGATAGACATGAATAAACATTTTGTGTACATTCATTGTATCTAAATGGCTATTTAGCCATGTTGTGGAGGGATCCTTTTTCAAAATGGCTACCTTTTTCAGTTTGGGAAATATCCTTCATTTCAGGGGTGGTTTTCTTTAAGAGAGAATTTCTCAAAAAAGTCAACCGATCAAAAATTGAAATGAAAATGAAAGACGACATCTTGATATCATTTTTTCTGTGCAGCCTGAACACCTGTGAGAGTTCTGAGTATTTTTAAAAGAATTTTGAAGTGTGGGGATTTATCACTGGTGTCTGTGGGAATTAATTTACTTGTTTGCACCCTTATGTATGACTGCTGAGAGCACTGAGATTAGTGGGCAGCCGTTATTGGTCATGTCACTTCATGTGAACTCGGTGCAGAACAACATTGAAGGACGCTTCACCTCCGTTTAGGCTGTGCAGCTATGCACAGATCCGTATTGCACATGCAGAGGTACTAATGGTTTGTGCACAGTCACATGGAATTTGGTTGCGTGCACTCTGCACCATTTACAGACGTGAACCGATGCATAGCTATAGGTGTGCGTTATTGGCTGTAGTGGGTATGCCTCACTTGGCCAGAAAGTACAGAAAGCATTGGTTTTTCAGCCCTAATTCAAAGATTGACATATTTTTGAGGCCATGTTTTTTTTCTTGTTTGAGCAAAACATAAAATGTCTTTGTCTACTTCTAGCAAATTCAAGATGGCAACGAGTAAAGACAGACGGCGCGCCTCCCGCCTGTCGGCTGGATTTTGCAATCTGCACAGCCAAAGTTTTTTACGATTGTCCTGACGAAGAAGATCAGGTCCCTGCCATGTCAGAAGCTGTTCAAAAGCTTGACGCCGTTCTGACGAGCAGAACGGAGAGCAGCGACGGATCGAGCGACAAGATTGCCGACCGTGAGGCCTCCGATTCCAGCAGGACTCTTGAGGGCGCTGGGACGCAAGCCCAGATTGCCTCAGGAGACGCCAAACACCTCGAAGGCGAGGATGCGCCAGACAGGGCCTCACCAACAGAGGGCGCTTGTGGCGCAGCCGCAGGTGCTGAAATTGGTGCTGCTTTGCCGGCTGAGGGCGCTGTTGCTGTTGCCGGACCAGCCGGAGTTAGCCAAGGTAACTGTGTCGTCTGTGTTGTCCATGGCGGTATGGATACGGAGGGGCTGGTGTTCGATGATTGTTTGGTGCTTAGATTGGACAACTTGTCATGATGAGCTACTGAAGGAGAAAGTGAAATTGTAAGTCCTCAATGGAATACCATTAACCACTTGCTGTCGGGATTATTTTTGGCCAAAATTGTGTTTTCTTCGAAAAAAGCAAGACATATCGGCCAAATTATAAATGAAGTCTAACACCATAAAGACTGAGTCTTGAGAGTCATTTGTACAATGTTTGTACGGTACTTCTCACCGTGACTTCATATTTTGCAACACTCTGAAACCCTGTCGCGGAGTGATATTTGCTACGACAACAGTACAGGCCATGTACAGCGGCCAAGTTCAAGTTCAAAACACGGTGTGTACAAACACTACGGTGTGTACAAACACTACGGTGAACAACTGACGTGTATACACGTCCACTGCCGGAGACTCAGGGAAAGCTTGACGATTTTACCCATCACCCGCCCCTGTGAATATACATTGCCAGAACATGTTCACTGTACAGGTCCTCCTACGTTAACTGATTAAACTAGACCCAAGACCAGGTCACATTGGAATGTGGACAGGAACTTCTGTCCTTCCTGCTTCTTTTTGTTCAATATGCTTAAAAGTAAGCACGCAGGGTCTTCCAGTGGATGCTTACTTGTAACCTTTGAATAACTGTGGTCGATGTTTAATGCGCTAAATTCAAAGGATTGCCGTTAAACTAGACTGTAGACCTATGCTCGTCGGAGTGAGGATAGGCATTTGGACCAAAGCCGTTGAGATTTCATCGTTTGCTACTTAAGACCAACCTTCAAAGTAAACGGGGATGCATCGTGCAGGGCTTGATCGTGAACACATCATGAATTGAATGAATTGTTGCGATTTCTGCACATGCTTCTGAAGTTAAGATCCATTGCAGGCGATGTTTTAATGGCCTTTACTGCAGAATTGCAGACCCTTCTTAAGGCCGATTTACACATACGCGACTTTGTTGCGCAACAATAATGCGCGCCTTTCAAGGTATGCAGAATTCAGTGTGTGTGCGTTAACATTTACACGACTCAGTTGTGCATCGTATGTCTCATTGATTTGTGCGTATTTATAAAAACGCGCGACATTGTCGCATAACAATATCGTGTATATTGGCCTTTAGTGTGGGTATGCTGCCAGTTTTTTGAAGAAGAAGATTTTTTTTTTTAAAACTGCTTTCTTTGAAAGAAATCTTCAGACATTCTAAAGAATTTTTAACGAATGACTTAAATGTATGTATTTTCTATTAATGCAGTGGTGGAATAAATCCTTGAAAAGTGTTTGATTCTCATAACCTGGGCTGTTTGCTGATTTTTTTTTATTTTTAAAACTGCAAAGTTGTTAACGTCAAGCCTTCTTAAGTAAAACAGATAACGCATTATTTTAATGGCTGAACATTACTCATGGAAATCTCCGTTTTTGTTTGTTTTAAAGGTCCCCAAAAGAGCTTAAAAAAGTGTGGTTTGGCAAAACACAGTAAACTCCAACTCATGTCAGAAGCGATGATGGGAATACTTTCTTCTTCACAATAGTTGTGAATAAAAGACGGTCAGATACGTGTACTTAATTGATAAAAAAAATACCAGTGAAATCTCATGAAAAATACTTGTGAGTATGCATACTCCAAACTTATGAAGAACAGCGCCCTCTGCTGTTCAGTCTGCACCTTGGCAACCATAAAGTTTTAATACACCGAGTGATTAACTCTGTCAACCCTTCTCAACCTTCTTCGAGTCACCAATCATTGAGTCCGGGTCCGAGTCCGAGTCACCCCTCCCGAGTCAGAGTGCCGAGTCATGCAGGTCAATTCCAAGTCCGAATCACGAGTCACAAAGGTGGAGTCTGAGTCCGAGTCAAGAGTCACCATTAAAGTACTATATATCGTAAATAAATTTCATGGTACTGCTAAAACCTCTTATTGATTTCTCAAATCAAAGATCTGAAACAAGCCAGCTGTACACGCTGTAGATGTCACGATTCGGAGTCCGAGTCACGACTCACAAAGGTCGAGTCCGAGTCCGAGTCAAGAGTCACCGTTAAAGTACTATATATCGTAAATAAATTTCATGGTACTGCTAAAACCTCACATTGATTTCCCAAATCAATATATCCAAAACAAGCCAGCCGCACACGCTGTAGATGTGTTTCTTCTGTAGAGTTCTTACTATATAGCTTGCTCAGGAAAGGATTGTCTTCAAAATGTAACTATATTCTTGAAAAAAATAAGTGGTTTGTGGTAATTTTGCTTGAGTCCTGAGTCGCGCAGGTCGAGTCCAAGTCGGAGTCTGAGTCCCACTCCAAGTTCGAGTCCGCAGGTTGAGTCTGAGTCGTTTTTCATTGTGATTTGAGTCCAAGTCATTTGTCATCGTGACTCGAGTCCGAGTCCGAATCACAGAAAATGGGACTCGAGTCAGCCTGAGTCTGAGTCCGAGTCACGAGTCATACAGCTCTGTCAATATCCACCATAAGATTTTGAAGCATTTTGCAGGGTCGAAGAAGGTACTGCCAAGCCACTGTTATGCAAACTTGATGCCTCTGCCTGCACCCCTCCACGTAAAGTCTGTCACGAGCCAATGTGGCCCATCAGGCCGGCATTTATCTCCGGTTTCAGTAGCATGAAACAACTGAGAATATTTCTACTCCCCCTGGACGGGATGCTAGTCCATCGCAGTTACTCGCCAGCTAATGCCAGTACCCATTTAAACTCCTGGGTGGAGAGAGGCGAGTGGGATGAAGTGGCTTGCCCAAGGACACAACATGGACTAGCTGCTGGATTTGAACCCCTGACCCTCTGATCATGAGTCACGAACCCAAACCACTAGGCCACTCCTGGTATATATACGTGTCAAAACCATAACTCTTCTTGTTCAATCATGCTGAATTCTCCTCAGGAAACATACAGGTTTCCGTGCAAGTCATGAGATTAGTGGCACACAGGGTTTACTCATAAACTTAGCATCCTGTGGGGTTTCCCCTGTTTTTTTCCCTTTAGTTCTGGGGTTTGGTTGGACGTACACTGGCCCAGCAGAACATGTTATGACTTCCCTGCCTAGAGGTGGAATTGAGAGGGAGTGAACAAGACCTAAACAAAGAGTTACATGTAAGCCCGGTTCATACTTCATGCAAAAATGAATGCGAAGCGAAGTTGACGTCATGAAACATTCGCTGCGAAATTTGTCCGAGTTGAAATGTGTTCAACTTTTGCGAATTCGCAGTGCGAATACTTGCCATGTCGCCACAAATTCGCGTTCGCTTTCGCTTTCGCGCCGAGTATGAACCGGGCTGTACTCGCCAAGTTGGTAGTGCCCAAGTGACTCACTGCACAGCTGTATGGAATGAATGGTATTTTTTTCTGTATTGATTGACACTTTTCCTGGGACTGTCAATACAGTCTCTAGATTAACCTTAACAAACCCCAACGGCATGTTTTGTTGGAATCTGTCAGGATGGGTACAGTACCCCTAAACTGACAGTCTTTTACATTGGGTTGGCACACCTCCAGAATCAAAGTCAGAAATATGTGTGTGCAGTTTCCCATATGGTGTTGGAATTTGCCAGGATGGGTATGGTTCCTAGTAAATCATGCTAGGGAGTTAGGGTTAATTAAGGGCAATTTTTTTGGTTTTGTTTCATTCCTGACTGTGTAATCTGCATGGTTACCTCAAAGACCCATACTTATTAAAGTTAGTCTCAACAAATCAAGTTGGTGAAGTGGTAAATTCCTGACCTCCAGTTCTACGACCCAGGTTCGAATCACAACCAGGATGACTTAAGGCATTATTTTTCCAGTCTCTGTCTGGCTCCGTTGGACTTTCTTGATTTATGCATCATTCTGGGGTTTCATCCTTCAACTTCTGTAAGACTAAACCTTTCTTCACCGTCTTCTCTCTCTTGTTTTTTTTCCCCAGGCTTTCAAGATACAGAGCACTTACGAGGAACTCTTGATTTCCTAACAAGAACTAATTCTTTTCTATCCCATCTTTCATTGAACTACTTGTCAATTCTCAAATTAAGAAGGCACACGACACAGTACAGAATGCAAGGATTCATGCGGTTACTTTGTGATGACTACGAAAAACAAAACAGACAAGTGTACTCTGTAAGTCCAAGTGGGTATGAGTTGTACATGTACAACCCAAGCAGTGGTGGATTGGGATGGCTAGGATGTTGAGTTCAAGATTTTTCAGAGGGGCTGTTGGGGGGGGGGGGGGGGGGGTGGGGAGTTGGGTGGCGGTTGATGAGGAGTCACAGTCTGTGCCCATAAAGATAAAAGACCTGATGCAATGAATCAAAATTTGTAATATTGAGTGATTTAATATGTTAGTTATTAGGGGAACTTAAGGAAATGTATTTCTGTTATGTAGATAATTATCATTGGTCATTGTGGTGGGCGTGGAGGGTGAGTTGTGGTGTTGGGGGGGGGGGTAGGGGTTGGCAGTTAGCCACCCCAACCACCCCCCTTGGATCCGCCCATGTCAAGATAGTATTTGAGTACATAATTGATTAGAATGAGTTACAAATGTAGAGAAGAAATTCCGGAATCGCGAGCTCCACTTTAATAACCAGGTAGCTTGCCAAGTCTGAAGCAGCCAAAATTGGTGTCACTTTACCCAAATTAGTCTAATCTATTGATACGGCTCTGATTATTTGTAGTAACCTAAGAACGGCACGTTCATATACACAAGGGACATGTATACACAATGGCTGTTCTTGTCCCAGCTACCTATAGTAGTCCGAACCGCCCAATTGTGTTTGTTTAGGAAATTGATATTTTCCAAAGTCTTCAGGGGTCAGACTAGGCCATTGTAAATCCGGCGTGCCCTGGTCAGGGGACTCACATCAGAAGCTTAGTTTAGTCTGGATCACAGATAATGCATATTCATGTGACCTCCGACCTTAACCCTTGTTGCTACGACTGCGTCGTGATGTATTCACATAAATGTGTAAGGTCACAATATTGGCAACCAAAAGTGGGGCATTAGAGATCTGAAGCAAGATGAAAGCTGCATGCTGTTAGTTTTCTCTTAAATTGCTGGGAGAAAACAGCCCTTTAAGTGGAAAACAACGTTGAAAAGATAATAGGCCAAATATTTTTCACTGCAAGGCAGATTATAGTGGTATTTTTTGGACAGTTAATGTAAGTTACATGGTGACCGCTTTCCACTTGAGAATTCTTCTGCGAGTATCAAACGAGGCAATCGTGGGCTTCTTGTAGTCTTGTCAAGGTATCCATTTCTTATTAAAATTAAATTGTGGAAAAAAAATTGAGGAGAAGTAGGTTTATCAACGTTTTTCAACCTCAATGAAACTTGCAAAGTAAAACAGGCAAAAACGTCCAATAATATTTCAGAAAAAAAAAGGTTTCTTTTAGGCCAAAAAAAAAAAGTCTCCGGTTTCTGGTATGCGCGCGCGTCGCCGTAGCCATGCGCGTCGGCAAAATGAAAAAGTTTTTTTTCAATGAAAGATGATGTCTCAAAACCGCCAAACTCACTGGTTTAACTGGAATTCTGCTGCTGCACAATTTTAACGTGTTTTTAGATGGGGTTATGATCGAGAATAAGCTTAATGTAGCCTCTCTGAACTCCCATATATTTGCACTAAGTTTAGTCGGGCACCATTTGCAGTCATCAGTCGACATTTGAAGCAAAAAAGTCAGGTAAAAAAAAAAAAAAAAGCCGCGTCGCCGCACCACTTTTTGGACAAGCTCCATACCAGAAACCGGAGACTTTTTTGGGGGGCCTTAGTAAAACATGCATAACTTCTGATAGCAAGGATCAATTTCAGTACTTCTTCTTTACAGATGAGTGGAAGAATATGCTCTTTTAAGACATTGGAGTATTAAATTTGATTGCTCTTTAAGAAAAAAATATCATTAAATAATCCAGGTCACTTGTTTTGGACTCAGCCTGTACTATGAGAATCGCAGTTAGAAATAGTGAGCATAAACACTGCGGTTTTATTTTATTTTTTTCCGCCCATATTCTGCATGGTTTCTGTCTGTATTTCTATTTAAACAAATTCTATTACTATAATCTCTGTGGTCAGATTTCATTCCAATCTTGTCCCCACCCCCTGTCCTTCCTCCTTGCCTCCGTGCCACTTTACAGGCAATTACTTCAGGCAGCCGAAGGTATAACTGCATTCCTTTTCAGAAACGTAATTATTCCTCACACTGAATTACTTGAACGTGTACGCGGTGTCATTGTGCCGTAAAACCCTTTTTTTTCCTCCTCAATTTATCGACGTTGCAAGTGTCCCTCACCTTGCCTTTATTGCAGGTGCAGGGCCCAATTT